GCATGGAAGCTACATGGGACAAAACAAAAGAGCCAAATAGCCAATAGTCGAGGGTCAAGTTATATCTTGCCAGTTGAGCTTTACACAACTGACAAGAAAGTGTCAATCTGTGGTCATACGACGACGAAAAAACTATCGATATGTTTAATCAGAACAGATCAAAAATTGTACATTAAACTAAAAAATTGGCAACAGGTTCTATGCATTAGAAAAACTAAAATCTTGCCCTGAGAAAAAGGCGGCCTATACACTTTTTATAAAGGAGTATGAGGCGATGAGTCATTTATATGAAGAAACTCAACCGATAAAACTTATGTTACCAGAAGCATACTTGCCACATAATGGTGTGATTATAGCAGAGAGTATGACCACCAAACTACGCGTGGTTTATGATGCGTCAGCGAAAATTACAACGGTCATCTCACTTAATCAATCAATGATTGATCACAATTCAAGAGAATCTCTTCAATGTTTTAGTCAGTATCAAGTTACACCATTTTATTGTAACAAGACACATTGAAAAAATGTACCCACAATTAAAATATGCGAACCGCGCCAGCTGTTACAAAAAATGTATAGCATGATCGAACCACCGAGACTATAAAAACGTACGTTTTAGTTACTCTAACTGCGCCTTACCAGGCTGTCTAAACTTTGCATCAGCTTGCCGAAGATGAAGATGATAAGTTATCAATTAATGCTACCCGAGCATTAAAACATGACTATATATTGACGATTTATTAATCGGAGCAGACTCACATTAAAATAGCCTATGGACTAATGTAAAGACAATTAACCAACGCATCCTTTTAAAATACTTCATTTCATACTAATATATTTTTTCAGTTAACGGCATAATACATTATTTATTTATAATCTTAACGGGCATAACCTCTTTTACAATTAAGGCTATTTAACATAATAATTTCAACATAGTTACATTTCATTAAAAATATAAGTGAAATAATAAAAATTATATAATAATAGTTCACAATTATATTTAAAAATGAGATGATAGATATAAAAAACCTTTCAAAAATATGAAAAATATAATAACATTTATAATAACAAAGTATAGACCATAGCGTAATTTATAAGGTATTACTCAAAAATATAACGTTTATATCAAATTTTAACAGTAAATCTATAAACAAGCGTTCTTATTAATCCAATAGCATTTTCAAAGTATATTTCATAATATGGAAGATAACACTCTTATCTTAGTAAACCTATCTGTTTTTGATAACCTTTTTTTTTTTTGGCGCGTCACTTTTTTTAGATAGTCACAATTTTATGATTTAGCAAAACGTTGGGGTATTACTTTACCAACTTTCTCGTTAGTTTTCTATCGGTGAGTGGATTATGCATTATAACATAAATATACTAATGACTAATGAGTCATCTCATCATTTATAATTCATGTCATTCTTAATATTAATTTTATAAACATCAAATTTACTTATTGGACCAATTTGTAGTATAGATTGTAAATATTCAAAGTAAATAATAAAATAAATATACTTCATGTATTAAAATGCTTGTAACTAAATAATACTTTTCCTAAAATTATTATCGACACCCCATTAATCATTTTGTAAAATAAATGGTAACAAGAGGTTATATTGAAACAATTAAACAACGATGGTCACTAACTCATTAAAAAGTTAAATAATTCGTTACTTTTTAAGTCAAAAATATAGTTATTCAAGTTAGAATAAGATGTTAACTTCAAGCTAATTTAGTATAGTAGTATTAAAATTACGTTAAATGTGTAATTCACACTGCTTGATTTTTTTTTCTAATATCCTGAATTTTTATAATATATTATTTATCTTAAAGGTATATTTTGTTCTTCCAAGACAAAACAATAATTTTATACAATACTGATTTTGAAATTTCTCAGGTGGTCAGTAAACAATCATATCACATTGAAATAATAAAATATTAATTATTATGTTTATTACGTTAAACCACAATTAAAGATATAATTAATTATATTTTATATTATAACTTTAATTGTGTGCTAAACTATGCCGCATGCAAACACTGAATAAGAAAAACATATACTCCCCTGGCCATGACGTGTTTAAATAAAAAATGGTGGTATATTCATTATTTTCTAAAAGCATTGTAGAATATTGACACCATTATCTAAGTAAAATGTTGGGGGTACTAGAGTGATATGATTTAAGTTCATTGTTATTTATTTTATTGGTGATAAATATGGACTGCTTATACCATTATAAATTCATCATACATTTACATGAAATGAAAGTCAATTTAACGAATTTTCGAATTCTTACAATAGGCTAGCCTTTTTTTATTCTAACCGCTAAAAAAATAATATCTGTAAAATTGAAGACCATTCTGATAATATTAACACACGATAACTTGAGCTTAAAGTTTCAATTTGACTCTTTTTTCTTTAAAAATCGTAAATTATCTTTAAATAACTTATCAAATATTAAAAATAGCAAAAAAATAATCAGAATATAAAAATTACATGTTCTACAAAAGATGTTTTTCAATTTTTTGTCTATATTTAATATGTACCAATATTTAAGCTCTCAAATTTAAATATTTAGAAAAATATGACAAAAGTCTCAAAATTTGAATTTCACAAAATAATCTCATGGTAGACTTTTACAAGGGTTAAAATTGGTACAAATTACCATTTATATATAATATATTATATTTTAATTTGACTGATAATGTTACTATATTATTCTGATTTTTTCAATTTAAATTGAATTTATGTCTATGTAAAGTATTTACTCATTCTATATTGCTAAACACATACTACGAAAATATAATAAAAATTGACTTATGATCAAGGCTTTAAATTATACGGATTTATAAGTTTTAAAAGACACAAGTTTGTGTAACTTTGTCGTGTGATAATATAGTAATACAAAAATTTTTTTATTTTAGGAAGGATTAATCCTCAATACTAGAACTTGAGAAAAAACACATCATTAAGTTTTTAAGTCAATTAATACAAATTTTTACTTGATGATACTGTGTTCGGAATAACTTAACAACATTTCTAAATACATATAATTCACTACCCAGCTTATGACTAATTTATTATTAGATAACTGCAACATCACGAAATTATAAAACTATTTCACGGTTCGTTTTCAAAACTAATCTACAACTGTGCTAAGCAATACTTACCGTCAATTGCAACATAAATAAAAAAAGTGAATCACTTTCTGTCTAATGTGTTAACACAATAAAGCCTCTTCAAATTCATCTCGGAGAGTAAATTTTAAAATTAATGCAAGCTGCACACAAACGTTAAAGTATTATTTTTAATTGATTTTGGTTACTCATTTAATTGTCGTCCATAAAAATATTCCTAGAAGTTACAATTAACTGAAATCTTCTAAAAGGTTTTTTTCAAGAGACAAAACACAAAATATTTATGTGTTCTTTGTAACATTTTGAAATTTCATAAAATTTGTTTTTGTGAAATCCTTTAATTGTTTTTTAAATCCTAGATATTTAATTTGATGCTTTTACTTCAGTAATTATTTAGTATTAAAAATGAGGATTTACATTTCATGTTACCTTAATTACCTTATTAATAACCTAAAGAAAAAGGATACATGTATCAAATCTTAAATTAATCTTACTGTATCAATGATATTTTTTAATAATATATTTAAGAAATCATTTAATTGGAAAACAAAATTATCATCATAATAAATAATATAAAATATAGATATTTATTAAATATCTCGAACTAAATAATTATAGTTGTACCAAATATAATATAATCGACTATTTATTATTCCAAAATTATTTTTATTGTATATTACTATAAATATTATCATTTATAAATAGTCAAAAATAATCCTTGTGCTGAAATCTATTATCTATTTTTCAAAATAGTGTTGAGATAATTAAGCATAATGACGCATTTTATTTTTTTCAGAAAAAATAGGTCGACATTTTTTATACCATTATTTATAAATTGAATTAAGTTTTAAATTAAAAAGCCAAGTTAAACCAATATTTTTGATCCTTTAAAGTTCAAAATCATAGCTTAGGTTCATTTATTAATTAAACTCACAGATATAATTATAGGTGTGTTTATTAAGATAAAATTGTATACTTGAACAAAATGCGTAAGGAATATTTTTAAAATGTAATTTTTTTTGTTTAATTGTTAGGAGCGACCTTTATAAATATTATTATTAAATTTATGTGCAAAGCTCAATATTTTAATTCAACCATCGTTTTGAAAATTATCATTTATTTAAAGTGATAGATAAAAAAGAAAACTATAAACCTTTATATTAGTTTAGATAACTTACATGAGATTTCGAGTTAGATACGATAAAATAATTTCTTTGTTGAAACACAAGCTTAAGTTGTTATTTTTTTTAACATTACACTAAAAGTTTATATACTATATTTAAAAATTAATCTAATTAGATTGCAACAAAAGTCACTTAAAACGAAAATATTTCAGTATATTTAAACCTTTTCTAATTTTATTCAAGTACATCACTTTTAAACAAAATGCGACGGCATTTCTTTAAAGTTATTGCATTCTAAATATAAATATAAATACCTATTTTAATAAGGTTATGAGAAAAAGTTCGTCATATACACCAGTCATAACCAAAATACGAGCTAAACAATGAAATGAAAGCACCTGACCTCTGGAATTTCTACCAGTACTGGCCAATGACGTTGATCAACTCTCACGTGCATTGATGAATCATTTACAAGAAACATTACATACACAATCGTATAGCTGGTAAATACCGAGTGTTTTAATAATCACATTCGTTTTAACAATAATGATAACGTATTTTTTTAATTGGAGGCCATCGGATTTGGGATTTTTTTTTTTATTGTCAATACACGGCATTGAACATCGTTTGACTTTAAACACGACTTAAATCATAACGTCCATATCACCACCATGCCTACTGAAATAAGGGGGGGGAGCAAGGTAGTTCTGGTAGGTGGAAATGATAGTATATATACTTTTAACTAGGTTATCACGATAAACACTCCGATACAAGTCGTTTTATTCGACGGTGTCCATTTTAGTGATCGCACATCACCGAAAGTATAAACAAAGAAGACACAGTAAGATAAACTTGGTAAGATTATTAACTAATGTCTAAAATAAAGCTATTGTACAAATATCTACTTTCTTATCGTAAATATAGGGAGCTTTTGTTAAGTTCTAAAATTTTTATAACAATTTAAACCTACAATGCACCAAGTGGCACATTTGCAAAAAGTACAAAAATAGATTTAATTCATTTATTAGGCACACATTTTATGAATACGACACTTTATTGGTTACTTATGTTAAGAAATATGTTATGAAACGTATATAACTTTTAGGTGATAAATTTTAACAATTTTTAAGTATTTTTTTTTAAATTTCAATAAAAACAGATTTCAAATATTTATATATATATAAAACTTTTTTTAACGAATATAGTGTTAAAAAATTGATTTCAACGAGAAAAAAAATTGTGCATTAAACGGTTAACAACAAAAATCTAAAAAAAATCAATTAAAATATAAATAAAGGAAGAGAAAATTAAAACAGATTTATTTTCGTACAAACTTTACTTATGTTAAAATTTAATAAACTAATTTGTTAAAATTCACACCAGTTCAAATCTCAAATTAACCAGTAGCTAGAGAACAATAAAATTTTTACTGTATATTCAGTCATTATCAGAGACAGTCATATGCTTTTTTCTAGAGGTGTACACAAACATAATACAAAAATAAGTTTATTTTGTTACTAACAAGTAAACTATAAATATGATGTAATATGCTACAAAGAAAAACGTTTATTAAAATTTTATTAGTCGGGCTTGGATATTTTGTTTTTTGCAATTATATTGATGAATTAAATTGAATTAATAATTTATAAGTACAAGAGTGTTTTACTTATAAATTAATTAATTTCAAATAATCGTACTTAAAAAGAGTAGTCTAGAAATTATAAAGAGAAAAAAAAGATAGTGTTGATAATTTTTACCGTTCTTTAAATTAACATGAAACCAATTTATATATTTTGCCAGTGACCCAATTTAACAATATTCTATATCAAACAATTTTAATAATACTAAGTTTATTTTTAATACTTTATCGCTTAATAATTGATATGGGGCATTGTACATTTTTATGCAATAATTTAATAATTAGATAATTTCACAATTTATGGTTAATGTTATTTATAACAAATAAAAACAAGTGAATACTATTTATTATTATATTTATAGATTAATTATATTTAATAATTAATCTTTTTTGAGTTATAATTAACGTTCTTTTAAGTAAATCAATTCTCGAGTTTTTTCTCAAGAGTAGGCGGGAAAAACTACATTGCTCGAACGGAATGATATTAGTAACCACCGCTGTTCAAGAATACAATTTACATTTTCAATGCACATTACTAGAGATCATACATTTTCATTTTATAATAAATTTTGAGATAACCTCATTATTATTACTTTTTAAACAGATTTGTACGATTAATATAAAAATGTTTGAAATGATAATATATTTTAAAAAAACTATTATTTCTAGAAAACATTTTTCTTAATCATTATTATTCCATGTATGAGCTAAAAATTAAATTAAAAATAATCAACCGGTTCTTAGATTTATCCTTAACTCACGAGGTTAAAACTAATTACAAAGTACACTCAAACATGACAGAAAAAAAGAACATGTATACTTGAAATTAATCAGATGCAAAAATAAAACCATAGATTTATTTTTCTTTTTGTAACTGATTAGTCTTTAATTAAATAAATAAATTTGATTGAATAAAATCTTGACACTGCAGAACCAGTACTGACATTTTAACTAGTGATTTTTTTTGTTCTGTTATTCTGTAATTTTAAAATAACATTTGTTTTGCAAAAATAAGTAAAATGTATAAATAGTATACAATTTTGACACGTAAAATACTTATCAATCCCTAAAAATTTTGAAAGACTTGCACTCATGAAAAAAAAATTATTTTGTATTAGATTAGTCCCAGAAGGTGGTATGACATACTTCTCTGATATATATATTTTATTTTAGCTGATTTAATTGATAACTATTGTTATACAGAATGTCTCACCCATTTTTGACAAATTCTATATGTTTTGATCCATCAAATATATATATTGTTAATTTTTTTTGAATCATGTTTACAGTTTTGGACGGACGTTGTCCACTTTGTATTTTATATTTACATCAAATAAAAATTTGTTTTATTATATTGATTGAATGGATAATATTTAACAGTTTTATCAAAACCTGTTTATGTATTTTGCTTGATACAAAATACATTTATAAAATACTGCAATAAAATTTCAATCATATTAATTTTATAAATAAATTATAAAATCCTCAACTTTGGCAAAACATCAAACTTTTCGATGGTCTACAAAATGCATTAGTTGTTTACCTCGGCTTTCAAATTATTATTCGTAAAAACAAAATAATAAATCTCGACTGCAGTCGTGCATTTTAAAAATTAAAAAATACTTCAAGCATCAACAAAATATTATTTTTATATTACTATCAAACATTTTAGATAATTACCAATAAAATATAAACTTGATAATTATATTTTATTAATTCGTTGCAGCATTTTCAATAAGAAATATCAACCATGGCAATTTCAGTGGTCTCTACTCACATGTATGTGATGGAAAATGCTATAGAACATCACACCGATCGATTTGAATTACTTAATAGCAACTCTACAGTAATACTTCGACGAGGACAACCATTTTTATTCGGAATTCGGTTTAACAGGTCTTTTGACGTCAATAATGATATTATTCGCGCAGTTTTAGTCACAGGTAAACAAAATAAGATTTAAAATCAATTCAATGAACTTTTATTTTTTTTTATATCTTAATAATTATGTGTGGGAAGGTATAGCAAACTACAGAAAATGCAGTTACATCATTCATTTCAAGAAAAAAGAAATTTGAATATTTAACTTGAATTATTTTATAATATCCAATTAATTAATAATTAGTAGCAATATAATTAATTAGAAAATTAGTGACATAAGAATCCATAAAAAAAATAAACTGTAATACATAGTTATAGAATAATTTTATATACTAGTAGGATACGATGATTAATTAGAAAAAGTATTTTTTTTCTGTTATAACTGTATTAATTATATTTCCTGAAATGATTGATCAGTTGAAAAAATCTATGTTTTAAAATTACACAATTTGAAAATAATTCCATTATTAATATGTTCTCCATAAATAACTTATACAGGTTGTTCAGTAAGTAAGACAAAATGTCAATTGTTACAAACTATGAGAACAATAGAAATACTTTTTCCTGCTTTCCCGAACACTACATAAGTGTTGTAAAATGTCGAAAAAAATATTGAGAAAATTGTTCAGAAATTTGTAAAGAAATGTTGAAAAAATTGGAAATTTTTATTAATAAGCTTTTATTTCACTAATTCATTTATTTAATTATCTCTAAATTTAATTTAAAATAATTGTGAATAACTTTCTAATATACATCATTAGAAATTTCTTGTATCTCACAAAAAGTCTATATTTTAAAATAGTAATAACTACTGAAGTACTAGTTCAAAAGTTGGTTGAAGCATATTCTTAACATTAACTATATTTTTAAGCTAGTTAAATATGAAGGGTGTTCAGTAAGCATGGAAATGGGTTTTTATTGTTCTCATAGATTGTAACAATTGACCTGTTTTCTTACTTACTGAACTCCTGTATTTGTTTCTATTAAAATATAAATAGTTAACACCCTTATAGTATATAAGTGATAGACCAAAAAGTACTTAAAATTAGAAAACCAAAATTTTTTGACAATAGCATTTTCTTTTTTCTCCATTTAAGATCATGACGATGATTAAATTCATATAATTTAAATAAATTTAAATGCATAAAAATCTAGGCTGAATATGACTGATGGCAAATATTAATATTAATAAACTAATTATTTTTTTAAATTTTCATAAAAACAATATTATAAATTTATTTGATTAAATTTTGATACAAATTTTCATTGTATAAATTCTAACTTGAAAATTTCTTACAAAATAAAATACACTAAAAAATGTTTATTGTTTAATATTCCTTAATATTTTATAATAATAAATAATTGTTCTTCAATAAAATAATTAAGACATTCTCTAAATAAAATTTAATTTGTCGTAAGATAAAACTTAAATACATTATTTTATGTTGAATTTGATTGGAATAATTTTAAAAATTAATCCGTTAATAATAATTGAAATTAAAATTTTTTCTTACTTCTAATAAAATCGATTTTTTTATTATTCATTTAACAAATACTAAAACTTACATAGGTCCAGCACCTTCGCCATCTAAAGGTACAAGTGCAGCGATAATTATAAATAAAAAAGAAAACTTGCCTGATGATAAATGGGATGCGCGTTTCAGCAATATCTCAGGAAGTACTGTTATTGTTCAGGTTAGTGATACAACTTCAACAATTCTTATTTTTGTAAATGATATTCTTGCTTGTCAAATTGAGCCAAATAAACACATTTAACTCTTAAAATACACATATTTTTTTGTATTTCTAGTTTTTATATTTTAGAAAAATTATTTAAGTCTTTTATATTTTGTAGTACTCTCAACAATAATTAATAATATTTCAGGTACAAATACCTTCCTATGCTCCGGTATCTGTTTGGAAAATATATTTGCACACAGCTGTAAGAAATTCATCTGGGGTCAATCAGCACGAGATTGAATCACCTATCTATATTCTATTCAATCCTTGGTCTAAAAGTTAGTTACAGTTTATTATATGTATTTCTGTACACCAGAGATTAACTATATAACAAGTCCATTTTTATTTTTTAAAATGGAGATCGTTTTTTAAATAAGTTTAATAATAATTCTTTAAAAAAATAACGGTAGCACAGTGGGGTCGTGGCATAGCAGTACAAGTATAGATGATATCTGACAGTGATTAAAATCACTATCATAAAAAACGCTTCGATGCAAATCTTTAGATAGTGTTTAATTTTAAAAATTGATAGATTGTTTCAAAATCAACAATAACTCTTACCCCCCCCCCTTTTTTTTTTGTTAAACTACGACTACTATTTGCACATAGAAAATAGGTCGTCGGTACAAATTTTTTTTTTCTAACATTTAATATATAAAATAAGCTTTATTTTAACATATACTTAAAGGACGCAGTATTTCGAGAACATTTTCAAAAGTTAATTTAAAGAAATTGAGTTTTGTAAAAAAAGTTGCTATTTTGAATACCTTCTTGTGATCAGGTAAAGGGTCAAATTTTCAAAAAAATTATACTAAATAAATACGAAATACTTAAGGTTTATATTTAAAAAATTATTTTGATTTGTTAATTTTTGAAAAAGTTATGTTTGTTAAAAAAAAAAAATTGAAACTATGTCAAAAATTACCGATTTTTAAAATTGTAAATTTTAAAAATTTTAAAAAATTTTTAAAAAATTAGACGATTTGGTCTATATGAGCCACGAGGAACAAATAGAAGAGTATGTATTAAATGACAATGGAAAGGTATGGCAGGGCACTTTGAAAGAACCAAAAGGACATCAATGGTTTTTTGGTCAATACGAACCAGCCGTTTTGCCATCAGTTATGATACTATTAGACAGAGCTTTTATTCCACATTCCGAAAGAGGTAACCCAGTGAAATTGTGCAGAAGTATATCAGCAATAGTAAGGAATACAATATTTTTACCATATTTATACTATATAATAGTTTATGAATAACACTTCAATGTCTATGTTTTTTTAGACAAATAATGTCGACGATAATGGTCTTATCGAAGGAAAATGGGATGGATCATTTGATGATGGCACCAGTCCATTTGCCTGGATAAGTAGCGCTCCAATATTTGAAGAATTCTACAATACACAACAACCAGTCAAATATGGACAATGCTGGGTATTCTCAGGTGTCATAGTAACTAGTAAGTGTAAAATAGATTTTAATTAACACAAATAAAATTATTTATTTATCTGTAAAATGTTATAGTATGCAGAGCTTTAGGCATACCATGTAGATCAGTGACCAACTATTTATCGGCTCATGACACAAATAGTAGTTTGACCATTGATACATATGTTGACTTGAATAATGAAAAATTGAATAGTCATCCTGACAGCTACACAAACGATTCGTGTTGGAATTTTCACGTATGGAATGATGTTTGGATGGATCGTCCAGACTTACCTAAGGGATACGGAGGATGGCAAGTCATCGACGGAACGCCACAAGAAACTAGTGATAGTAAGCTGTTTAATATCACAAAAATACAATCATTAATCATTATTATAACTTAATAGTAAAATATAATACTTCAATTATTATAAACTATAATTTAAGCCTTTATAAGTATAAAATATCTTTAAAATTATTTTATGTTAGTTTTTACAAAAAGATTGTTATACCTGTTGAATTTTCACAAAAAAACTAATATTTTATTTTAGGCTATACGATAATTTGTGAGCGTATATCCTTTAATACAAATAGCACATAAGAATAAAATTTCTAAGTTATACTTTAATTAAAAAAAACTGTTGTTGGACATATACCGTATTCCCACGTTTAACTCCCAAAATACCACTAGATATAACAATAACTATTATAATCAGTTAACCAGTAACAACAATTATTGACGCATTTAATAATTATTGTTTAATGCTCAATTAAAAAAAAAATATCTTAAAAATTACAATAAACTGTTTAATTTATAGTCAATAGTGTAGCTAAAATTTCTCATATGTAAAACATATGAGGTATCTTAAATATAACTAATATATCTTAAAATTGTTGATCAAATAAACATATTGCACAAATTTTTTATTTCTAACTATTATTACATTTTTAAATTATTTTAAAAGATAAAAATTATAAGTGTTGACAGCTAGATCTGAAATACTCTGTATAAAATTTATCACTTCCTCCAAACAAAAATTGTATCTTTCCAAAAATTGTAAAATAAATTCTCCATGTAATTGATTTTTTCTTAGTAATTTCATACCTGTTAATTACCCATCAGCTTATAGTAAAGAATATATGTGTTTATTTATCATAACAGGTATGTATAGATGTGGTCCAGCTCCCGTAGAAGCTATCAGGAGAGGTGAAGTAAATATAGGATTTGATACAGCATTCGTATTCACAGAAGTCCGAGCTGATTTGTGCGTTTTTAAACAGTCTGAAGATGGTTATTGGGCAAGAGTGAAAACAGTGCCAAATTAGTAAGAACATAATCTAATTTATTTTAGTGTTTATATATGTAACACTATTCTTATAAAAATATATTCAATTATATATAAATATAAATATTTAATATAATTAATATATATTAAATAGTAAATAAGTAAGCTTAAATCAAAATTTAAAACATTTAAATGCTAAGTTAAACGATTCAGCATTACAATTGTTTACTACATAATTAGCATATTTCATTAGATAAAAATTTAAAACTATACAGAGTTGTTTAACTATTCTTATTATTTTATTTGTTTTACAGTGTTGGAAAACTGATAGTTACAAAGAAAATTGGCAATGAAATATTAGATGGTCTAGAAGACATGAAAGAAATAACTGATATTTATAAGAACCCGTTTGGTAATTATTTATTTATATTTTGTACGGGATAAGCTTATTTATAATAGGCAATATTAAAGGCTAGAAATAAATGTAACTTCCCTCAAAACTCCATGAGCTGTTTAGCTTATATGATTGGTCAGTTTGAAAATTAACGCTTCATTGTGTTCGACTGTTTAATTTCCGTGTTTAATACGCAAGTTAAATAATTTAAAATTAAACATTTATTTTATTTTATTTGACTTTATATATCACATAAATTTAAAATGACTATTCATTTTGTCGCATTTTAATGCTTTCTATATTAAGCTAAATACTGTTTATAAATTTAACAGAATCATTTAACATTGTTGATCATTTTTTTAAAATAAAAAATGTATTACAAAATGGTTGCATGGCGTCAGTAATTTAGCTGTCAAGCTATTATTTTATATAAAAAATGAAAAGGTTACAAGTTAAATTATTTAATTGATAATTGGTATATTGGATGCATTTTATAAATTTTATACACTATAAGAAATTATCTAAAAATCCCCATAAGTCATTATATTTTTAATGTACATGTTACGTTACATTCAAATAAAAAATTGTTGACATAAAAGTGCATATCATTTAATATCAGTTAATAATTTTTGTCATTGGAATATAAATTTACTAGTGTTAAAAACTTCCACTACGTGTAAGTGAAGATTTGTAAATATAGTTTTTATAAGTGTCATCATAATTAATTTAAAAACATTATTAAATAAATAATTAATTTTTCCCAATAATATAAAATTCATTCTATACTCAAGATGGAAAATTAGAATTTAGATTTTGAAAAATGCTGTACACTAAAATCAATTAAACATTTTTATTTAAAATTAAAAAAAAGGTTCTCCGGAAGACAAAATGGCAGTTAAGAAAGCCATTAAAATTGTACCAATAGCTCAACAAATATATGAAATGGAAGATATTAAAGATGAGGATGTAGAGTTCAAATTGTTTAATATCGAACACATTACACTCGGGGAAAGTTTCAAAGTTGCCATGAGTATGCATGTAAGTATCAAATATTATTTTTATAGAATTATCTAAACTAGTTGTACGAATTTATTAGAATACATCTGCTGAGATCAGAAATGTTTCCGTAGTTCTATCCGCCTCATCGATATTATACACTGGCACTACAGTAGATAAGATAAAAAGGAACCAAGCAAAAGTTACATTAAAACCTGGACAAAGTAAATGAACATTTTTTATTCGTCAAATTAAATTAATTGAATAAATTTTTTATTATTTAAATAGATTTTTACACGAATAAAAATTATAAAAAAAGGTTACGAATAATCAAACGATTCAAAAGATAGTAGCTGTTTATAATTTATTATTGTTCGATTTATCAAATACGCGTTATAACAAATTTAATTTTAGGTTACTTATTGGAACGATTATTTTATTAAATAATTAATTATTTTAATAATTTAACAGGAGAAAATCTTCATACATTTGTAAAACCTTCAGAATATTTAGAAAAATTGTCAGCACATGGACTGATAAGAATTTCTGCTGTTGCTAATGTAGAAGACACAGAACAGTTATGGAATCAAGACGATGATTTCGCAGTTAATAAACCACAATTAACTGTTATGGTATTAAAATTCATAGTTTGTTTTTAATAAATTAATATATATGTGTATAACAATTATATAATTTCAGATAAGTAGTCAACCAAAAGTTAACACATCATGTATAGCTTACTTATCATTTGATAACCCATTACCAATAGCATTGACTAATTGTACCTTTAGTTTTGAAGGTCCAGGAACACACAAAGTTATAAAATTTAGGTATTTTAATTTTACAACCAAAAATTTGTTTAAATTTATTTTTTAAATTTATGTTGGAATGTATTTTCAGGGACGTACAACCGAACGAAAAAAATGTTACCCATAAAGAAACTTTTAAGCCCGAAAAATCAGGAGAAAAAACCGTCACTGTATCATTTAACTCGTTAGAACTAAATGATATAACTAACACTATCACTGCAAATATTTTACCATGAATACATCAAATAAATATCCTAGAATTAATCATAACTTGTATCTGTAAATTTAAGAATTTATATTTTATTATTAAAATTTTATTTTTATATAAGTAATAAATTAGGGTTTATAAATAGTTTTTAAACCAAATTAAATGTAACTATTATTAAATTCAAAGTAAAAATTAATTTTCACAAAATGGTATACTCTGAGGCAGGAGATACCTTAAAAACTTAATGCTAAACAAAAGTAAATTTATTTAAGTGTAAACCATCATGAAGAAGTACGTTTGAAGTATATTTGTGTATTTTTAATCCAATTATTAACAATTAATTATCATTTATTATAAATAGTATTTAATTCAATTCTACTTCAATACAAGCAATTAATTTACTATGCATCTGTTATATGTATATAGAAATGTAATTCATGAATATTTTTATATAAATTATTTCCCTAATGGAAATACTTCATGAGGTGTTGCGCTTCCTTTTTTACTTAACAGTAACATAAGGAAAAATGTTGATACCAAAATATTTTAAATGATCTTGAAACAAAAATTTACTGTAAAATAAATTGCCTTGTATAGGTTTTAATGCTTCTGCAATTTTTGAAACATATTCTGAAAATTCTTTCACATTATGTTCGACTTCTTCCAGATTTAGATTTTCTGCGGAATGATCTTTAACAATATTTACTTGTTTCTTAGTAGTACATACATTTAACTCATCAAAAAGTTTCAATAATAATACTGTAGCATCTAATTCTATTTTATTAAACTCAGGAGTACCAGGCGATCCATTCTTGCATAACTGCAGTATTGAAAGTAATAAATTATCATTAGCATCTAGCAAAATAATAGCATTTCTTAATGTATCAACAACAGATCTGAATATCTTTTGATCGTCTTCAGTTTTTGTACACGATGAAGAAGTAAGTGGTTTTATATTTTTTATTTTTTGACTCAATCTACGTGTCAAAGAAACTTTGAATAATTGTAAGTGATATAAAGCAAAGTATAAAACATTTACGTAAACGATTTGTTGGATAAGCGAGTGATATTTTGAGATTGTATTTAGTTTAGTAAGACTCATATGTTTATTAAACAAAGTTTCTAATTTGTCTTTGTATTTCTGTAAAACCTCTTTGGTATTATCCCAATTAAATTCTTTAATAACTTTATCTAAAATAATCACATTGTTTTGTAAAAAACTTAGTGTTAAGTATTCTTCAGTGAACAGTTCTTCGTAAATGTAGGCAACTTCTAAATTTGTTGTATTATTATATAGATCTTTAATGATTTGTTCGAAATTAATTTTTTTAAAATAATCATCGATATTTATACTCAGTAGTCTTCTCTCAAGAAAATGATTCTTTTGACAAACCTCATATTGGACATCAAAATCTGAGTCAACGAATTTAAAATAATCAATATTCAAAGGCATTTTTTGAGTATCTGGTAAGTCTAAGGCTAATAATTTTGTACATAATATTAAAGTCCATTTATCTATGATAATATGACCATAGTACAATACAGATAGCATTCGTGCCAGATATTTATTCCATTTTCTTAGAGCTTCCCATTTTTTGAAGTCAGTTAGTTCGTTATTTATAAGCACACTTTTAATATCTCTTTCTATATAAATCATAATTAAAGTATTAACACACTTTAATATCGATATTCTGTTTTTATATTTATTTATCAGATTCTCTATACATTTTTTTAATATACAAACATTATTTTGAGATTCAGTTAAAAAGTTGATATCTTCATCACTGAATGTAATCTTAGGAGTAATCGTTACTTGCATCTTATTCAAAATTGAAAGAAACCCTCTGTCATAAAATTCATTTTCAACTGATTGTGGTTTAAACTTATGACTATGAACCTAAAAATATTAGTTATGAATTTTAATTAAATTTATTCAAAGTAAAAACAAATTAAAATTAATATATTTATAGAGCCAACTCTTCTCGGAATGGACCTTTTGAGAATGTTCATAATTTTTAAAATTCTGTGTCCGACTTTTGCACGTGCGTATAAAGTCTTTTGTAATAGAAAAAAAATCTATTTAAAATTCCTTAAAGTAATGTCTTACAACAGATCCAGAATGACCTAAAATATACTAAAATATCACTCTTTCACTATTTATTAAGTTTTCTCATAAATATTCTTAAAGTATTTCTTAGCACCTATTATTTCATAAGATTTCTAATTACTTTAGTTTTGGTTAAACATTTTTTACGATTGTTTTCTTCATTTTATTCCATAGTTGAAAAAAAATGGCGAAAATCTATATTTTGTCCCTAATTTGATATAGAAAATCTAAAAAAATGGTAATAGACAAGATATTGAAGGAGTTTTAATGTAAATTTCAGATCTATTCGCAGAAGTTGTGAAAAATCATATAAGCCTAACTTCATAATAAAACCCTACCTTATAATATAATGTTTAAAAATAAAAATATGATAGAAATTGATCGATCTTCCACAACTTTTGAACCATTACTTTGGAAGTTATTAATATTTTAATATAATGATTAGAAGTTAAAAATGGTTTATGGTAACATTGTATTTCATACTTATTTAACCCATGAAACATTTATTTAAATTTTCGTGTGTTTTATACTTTTAATTTTCGTATTGTTTGTATGATTGATAATAAATACGATAAACCTGTGTATTATAAAAACACTATTTTTAATACATTATTTTATTATTTATCACTATTAATAAAAAAAGTTCTTTTAATATCAAAATAGCCATCCTTTATATTTTATTTTCTCAATAATTGACCTGATTATCTGGTTCGGGGTAATTTGATTTGATTATTGTTACATTATTTATCTGATATATTGTTTTATATTAAAGTTTTAATGTGGTTCATCGATATGAACATTGGCACATCATAATGTTAATAATTTTTCGTTAAAATTCGAAAAGAAAACTAAGAGAAAAACATATTTTGTAGTCGACGCAACCATCATGCATTACATAACCTCTCTCATCTTCATATTATCACATGAGATAGTGATAGTTTTTTATCAGTGCGACCGTCACAAACGAATTGTAAAAGGGACGCTTTATATATTTACAATATTTATATCTTATATATAAATGTACTATTACAGGTTAATAACAAATGTATAGAAGTATGTAGCATAGGCGGGGTATGTGTTATAAATATACACTTGTATGAGATACACTCAGCCTCACTATATACCAATTTAATAAATTTAAATTCCTGTAACTCAATGAGTCACCCTTATCCTAAACTTCCACTTGACACGATCTCCCACATCAGCCGTCCTCATATCGCATTCAATAACATCTCTCTATCTCTTTTTTGGTCTTCCTCTACCTCTTCTTCCTTCAACATTCATTTCTGCAACTGTTCTTACGGCTTCCGATTCTTCTCTCCTCATAACATGACCAAACCATCTAAGTCTATTTTCTTTTAGCTTGTAACTCAATGAGTACTTGACTTAAAATTGTTATCGATCCGATAAAGTTTTTGGTAAAAAGTTACTCTTTGAAACTTAGAAAAAAAAATTAAATTACATTAGTTTTTTTTTTCTTATTAGTTATAAATAATAAAAAAATATGCTTTAAACATAATATAAGGAAATAATTCTTTTTAAAAAAAAAGTCTACAAATTTATTATTGAATAAAAAATTTTAAGAATTGTCAGTTAGATCTAGTTCACTTTTTATATAATAAAATATTAATTTAAAAATAAAAAATATTTAAAATATACACATAAATCAGAAACAATGTTATCATCATCAGCACTAAACACTTAATATCAGTTGGTGTTCAGCACATGTGTTTATATTTGGCTTTACATAAATATTTTAAACATATTTTTCATTTTGAATATTGATTTTAATTTCTGAAAATATACCGGGAATCTGGCAAATTATATTCTATATAAGTATATAAGTTGTATGAGTGCTTGAAATGCTAATTCAAAAAAATATTTTAATTATTTCAAATTAAATTACTATAATTTAATTTGAAACAATTGATGGAGCAATATTTTCGTTTCATTTTAGAACAAAATTTATCGTTATAAATCCTTAACTCCATCATAAATTAATTAGAATTCATAATTTGATTTGCTTTAAAAATGCTAATAAAATCATTTATACAAAATTTAATTTTAATTTAGATATTTTTTTAGTTATTCAAATCTGCCCATTAAAATTTTTTACAATAAATTGACAATATTTGAATATAAATCTCAATAATGAGTTCGTCAAAAGTTGTGATGATATTATCCTATAATTTCTCTTAAAATTAATTCATCAGAATAGTTAATAAAATGTAAACCATAAAAAATCAATAATATTTATATGACAAAAAACATTAAAATTTAAAAAAAATCGGTTGGACCGTGGAGACACGGCATAATTGGGATAAATATACATGATATTTAACAACGATTATAATCACTATCATAAAAAACGTTTCGATGCCAATCTGTAATTTTTTATTTTTAGGAGAAATTGTTGGATTTTTCCAAATGAAAATCAACTTCTATTGTCTTAATTAAATTCTAGTTCCTAGTTTTATGATTCGTAAATATAATACATAAATATTTACTAAAGTCTTTAAATTTAGTATGAAATTGGATATTCAGTAATTTTTTATTGTAATTTTCACTAAGAAATTATAATTTTGTCATTTTTTTCACTTTTTTTTCTTAAAACTTCCAAAACTTTTTCAAATATTAACAAATCAAAATAATATTTTTTTATATTGAAACCTTAAGTAATTTCCTTTCATTTGATATCATTTTTTTAAAGTTAAAGTACATCTTTCATTTAACATATTTTTTAATAAAATTGGATAATATCCCCCTATATAAGGAGCCTGCAAAACTTGAAACATTGTATAAAAATAGAACTTTTTCAACTTAACTTTTGAAACCATTGTTTCTATTTAATGATGCCAATTTCAAACTTTCAAATTGAGCTTGAAAAGTTATGGTAATAAATTCATTTTTTTTTTTATTATAAACTTTCACTTTAAAAGACAAAAAAAAGTAGGTTAAAAATTATTACTTTTAACATATTAAAAATCAATAATAATTTGAAAACAATTAATTATAAAAATTATATAATATATAAATAAAAGAATTATTAATCTGGATATAATTAAGGAAATAGAAGTTAATGTTGCTTTTGTAATTATCCACCAATTTCTTAGAATTAAACACTATCTACAGATTTGCATCGAAGCGTTTCTTATGATAGTGATATTAATCACTATCAGATTAAACCTATACTGGACCCAACTATGCCACATCCCCACTGTGCTGGGTTTTTACTTATAGTATGTAACAGAATCTTTTATTTAATATTATTTTAAAGAACGCACCATTTTCGGAAAATATTTACGAGTTATGTTAAATAAGTTAATTTTTCAATCAAAAGTTGCTACTTTTAAACCGCCATGTGGTCAAGTAAAGGATCATAGTTACAAGAAAATTATACCGAATAAAAAAGAAACACCCAAGGTTTTTTTGAAAAAAATTGTTTTAATTCATAATTTTTACACTTCATAATATAAGCCAACATTTTTATGCGACTATGTTAAGAAAAAATGTTTAAATTTCCCTAGTATACCTATAGAATTAGGATCAAATATACAGTAATAATTAGGCAAAATCTGAACATTAACCTATCATAGTGAAATAAAATTACTAAGTTAGTATTAATTATGATTAACAACAACTTAACATTAATTATTAATAAGAATATAAAATAAAAAACTAAATTTGATTATCTATGAATCAAAATTAATTTTATTAATTTTTATACCATTAAGAAAAGCTTAATTGAAAGACAACACAAGTGTTACCGATTCGGCAAGCGTTCGTCGCATTTATGGTTCGATAAAATTGGCAATTTAAACTGATTCAAATTTAAAAGTTACTTTTTTAGACTTAAAAGAAAAAAAAATTTTAATAAGTTCAACTTTATATTCTATGCCAATTTGATTTATATAATATTTATGAAAATCAGTGTACTCCCCTTATAAGCTATATTAAAATGAATTAAAATACAATACCAAAAATTTAAAAAAAAAATAAATAAATAGATAAACACGTTATAAAAAAATTCATACTTTCTCAGTTTCGTATCGTAGCTACAAATTGATATTGTTTAAAAACCACAAAACGACAAGTATTATAAACATTTTAATATTGAAAACGTAAAGCACAATAATATTGTTAACTTTTTAACTGCCATAACGTAAAAACAAAATAAATAAAAGAATTGAACAAATAAGAGTGTAAATAAAATAAAAAGAGAACTTGTTCATTATAAAAAGAACAAAACAATGATATAACTCATATATATATATAATTAAAATAATCATTTATAATTGTAATTTTAACTGAATGTTTTTTTTACGAACAATATTCGTTAATTATAACGATTTTAGATGTAATTTTAAATTTTTATTATGCTATACTTAAAAATGCATATAGTTATCGAAATTATTTTTCAAAGAATTAAATTATGTATCTTATTACCAACCCATACAATTTTTATGTGAGAAAAAAGCTAAAAAATGACACTTTCAATATTAAAAATGTATTTATTTATTTAATATTTTGGGCTTCAACCATTTGTCTGTTCAAATTTATTTACAAAATTTTAAATATTTACAATGATAATTTATAAAAAATTTTACCATAAGATTTTTTCTTACTGGTGATAAATAATAAAAATTATATTTTAATTGTAAAATAAAGAGATAAATATTATTATAAACAAAGTATTACTCTAAAAAAAAAAAGTCCAACGAAATGATAATTATATCAAAAGTTATAAATGTTGTGAATTAGATCTAAGACATTCTGTATAAAGATATCAC